CAGGGCCCCCCGCGCAGATGGTTCTAACCCGGTCGGGGCCAGCGCTGAAGAAGCCCGGAGAGTCCCATACACTGCAATGTGCCACCAGCGGGTTCACTCTTAGCAGCACCACCATGAGCTGGGTCAGACAGGAGCCGGGGAAGGGGCTGGAGTGGCTGGTCAGCTACTATGATCCCTCAAACAAGTACTACGCCTCCTCCATCCAGGGCCGATTCACAGCCTCCAAGGACAGCACCAACTTCTACCTGCAAATGACCAGCCTGAGAGCGGAGGACACCGCTGTGTATTACTGCGCCAGAGTCACAGTGAGGGGAAGTGAATCTGAGCTCAGACAAAAACCTTCCCCTGCAGTAACAGCGCAACGTTTCTGCTGCTGAGGGCGCTCACCAGCCCCCAACTGCTAGGGACAGGTGATGAGAGCAGCCCAGAGAAAGTCTCCCAGGCTATAAATAGTTGCAGACAGGTGCAGTTTCATAATCGGTTTAATTCACACCTCCTCCCTGCCTCCCGGAACTCCTCTGTGCCAGAAAGATTTATTCTCTCCCCCCATCCCCACGTTTTTTTCTATTCCAGACACACAAACATAACACTGCTGGATGCACTGGGTCCGTCAGGCCCCCGGGAAGGGGCTGGAGTGGGTCGCCCGTATCAGCAGCGGCAGTGGGAGCAGCACATACTGTGGTGATGCAGTCACAGCGCGATTCACCATCTCCAGGGACAGTCCCAACACCCTGCTGTATCTGCAACTGACCGGCCTGAGAGCCGAGGACACCGCCCGGTATCACTGCGCGAGAGATACACCCTGCACACTGAGGGGAAGCCAGTCTGACAAAAACCTCCTGTGGCGGTTACCAGAGAAAGTCCCAGCTGGTTTGATGCTGACAGGCCGCGCGCTGGGAGCTCACAGGAGACAGTAATTTCCTCCATTTGAAATGGGGAAAATGAACCCGGCTGTTCAGTCAGATCTAGATCTACAGGAGGAGGAGATACCGGGAACAGGGTGTCCCGCATTGGGTGTGGGGGGGATTCACTCGATCCCAATTATTCTATTAAACACATTGATATGGGTTAAAAGGAATTATTATCTGCCAAAGAGAAATCCAAATAGTCCCATGTTCACCTCTCAGTTCCCGTGTGGGGATAGAAAGCAGGAGAGGTGAAAACACAAACCCCGGCAGCTATAAAAGGGAACAAGGCTGTTCCCCAAATCCCTGTTGGTCAATGCCATAGAGCTGTGCAGTGTCTGTTTATTGATTTATTTGACTCCCTGCCCTATACATTGTCTCACTTCTATTAGCCTCATCAATGAACTGGTCTCCAGCCAGTCTGAGAGCCTAGGACCATGGTGCATTATGGAGCCAGCCACCCAACCACCCTCATCGTCTGAGCATCATTCAGTGTAACTGTCTATGGAACATTCCCTGGGAACATTCTCTCTCTCTCTCTCTCTCTCTCTCTCTCTCTCCCTCTCCCTCCCTCCCTCCCTCCCTCTCCAGTGTGTGGGGATATGAAAGGGAACATGAGTGTAATGGGAATGGAGATCTGTGTTTCAGTGTGAATGCTGATACTTGTCTGAAAGTCAGTGGGAATAGAAATATTGTTGTTGGTTTTGTTTGTTGTTATCCCTCAATATTACATCCTGGGGATGGTTTAAAATCATGTAGTATTCATAACACACAAGTTCTTTAAACACAACGAGGAGAAAACTTCTGTCTACACTTTATTGCTTATAAATAATTAACTAAGTAAATGATCTTGATGATGATGCTTAACGGTTATAGATTTGGCGCTGGTTGTGGTCCTAGTGCCTAGGTTCTCCAGAAGCTGGGAATGGGCGAC